ATAGTTAACTACAGTTAAAAGATTAATTAATTTTAATCAAATTTAATTAAAAAATTGGTTAAAAAAATTTTATATCTTAATTTAACTAACCCTAGTTAAGTTAGGTTATAGCTAAGTTACAACAGTTAGGTTATATCACTCTACTCGGGAGTAAAACAGGAATTCTGCTGGCAGAAATTGATCAGAAAATGTTGTTGCGGAGTGGCAGCTATAGGCCTCCGTAGAGGCAGGGCGTGTTGGCTAATGAACATGCAAACAAATCGACCTATTTGTAGGTGGGCAGCCACCCATATTTGTCTAGATCACCCGGCAAGGATTGGTTTTGTATCAGTCATCCCGCAAACCAGTTCTGGGCCTGATCATGATTCATCACTCTAATATTGACTTGATCGACTGACCTCCGAATCCTCGGTCACCAATAACGCTTTTACGCATTAGGTTGCTGATATTTCTTGGCAATCCTCCCTCCGAACTATATAGGGAAATAGCTCCCGATTCAAGATAAACCTGCATAGCTAATACGACCGGAAAAGGCATTTCACACCTCGAAACGTACGGTCCTTTGGTCGAAAAAAGGTAAATTTCGAATTTTCTTCGTGCAAAAGATTCCCTCGGACATCATGAAGAAAGGCAAACTATTACTTATTTGGGTTATAGTCCACCAATGATCTGGACCGCTGCAGTGTGTGGCCATAAAGTGGTCATCCCAATTGGATGTTGCATTAGCGGAGACGGGAATCGGTACATAAGACAACTTGTTTGGATATGTGCGGACGATCTATGAATTGTGTGACGCTTTAGCAACAAGTGTTTAATGAAGTCGACGCACAGCCGACGGCGTTTACAACTTTCTTGTTAATTTCTGAACATACGGATTTGCAAGCATTTGCCACCCGTTATCAATACTACGCTGTCCCAACTGATCATTCCTGAGATCCTGTCGGCACCACTCTTAGCTCACGGCAAAGGCTATTTCTTGAGTGACTAGACTTTAAGAGGGGAGGAATCTGGCTTTCAATTGCCTGTCAATATTCTCGGCCTATGCCCACTTAGACAAAAGAAATCTCATCTCTGATCACCACATTCGTTGGAAAGTGAACTGTGTAGTTTTTATAACCGAAGGATTGCTGGCCCAATATGGCCCAGGAGCGATCCTACGATTTCATTGTCGTCGGTGGTAAATTTTTGCTCTTTATTGCTATCAGTCAACCACTTATCTAATTCATAGGCGGCCCGGCTGGATGTACACTGGCTGCGTCTCTGGCAAGCTCCGCCAAGAGGCCGAGCGTATTGCTTCTAGAAGCCGGCGGGCGGAATGAGGACAAATCTCTGCGGGTCGATGGAAAGCGCTGGAAGACTTTCATGAAAGAGAATATGAATTGGGGGTCCCAGACAAGCCCGCAGGAGCACTGCAACGGCCGTCAACTCGATTACTCGCGCGGTAAGGGGCTCGGGGGCGGCTCTGCGATCAATTTTGGAGTCTACACTGTCGGGGCACGAGACGACTATGATCTATGGGCCGCCAAGGTCGATGACGAGACTTTTGCCTGGGACCAAATGCAGGCGCGGTTCAAAAGACTGGAAACATTTTCTGGCAAAATTGATGTCCCAGAAAACCAGAAGTACAGTCAGCCGGAACCCGCAGGCCATGGCAATAAAGGTGGCCTGCACGTTGCTATGCCAAAGACTGGGATTCAGATTTGACAACAGTGCTGGATGCATTCGAAGCAGCCGGGGTCCAGCGGAATCTTGATCACAACTCTGGTAATCCCCTTGGGTTCGGACTTTGTATCAATTCTGCTTCGAAGGGCATGCGATCAACCGCTGTTGATCTGTTGACTGATGTCTCGGATAATTTGGTCGTTCTCTCCGATAGTCCGGTGCAACGCATTATATTGGACAAGAATAAGGCTGTGGGAGCCGAAGCTAATGGCACACAATGTGGGTTCTCTCAAACGGGTTGGTTACTCTGGTTGCTGGAAGAACTCATGCATGCTTGCAGATTTTGCCTCGAACGAGGTCATCCTCTCAGCAGGATCGCTTGAAACCCCCAAGATTCTGATGCATTCTGGCATCGGTCCTGCCGACGAACTACGCAAGTTTAACATTTCAGTCATTCACGATCTACCAGCCGTAGGCCAAGGTCTCCGTGACCACATCTTTGCCCCACTTATTGTGATGCGCAACCCCGAAAGCAACGACCGCAATTCTTTCTATCAAGACGAAGTAGCCATGGAGGCCGCGACGAAACAATGGGAAAGAGACAGGACCGGTCCATGGACACGTTATGGCTGTCAATTAGGGATCGGCTGGTTCAAATCCGACCGAATAACATCCTGTGAAGAGTTCAAGGCTTTGCCTGGGTCTGTACAAGATTTCATGAACTGCGAGACCATTCCGCACTACGAGATTATTAGCCATTTCCCCGTGCATTTCACCTTTCCGCAGCTCTTCCAAGATTACAGCTATATCTGCCTGCCTGTGTTCTTGATGAACGAGCAATCCGTTGGAGAGGTGCAATTGCAGTCGTCCGACCCTAATGAGCCACTTTCGTTCAATCCCAAGTATCTCGAGCATCCATTTGACCGGCGAGCATGTATTGAGATTTACCGTCATCTTTGGGACCTGACCCAGCACCCATGTTTTGCTAAGGATACGGTCTCCACCATAATGGCACCGGCATCCCATTCCGATGAGGACATTCTTCAGTTCTGGAAGAATAACCTGTCATCCAGTTGGCACATGACGGGAACCGTGAAGATGGGGAGAGATGGTGCCAGTGATGCCGCTGTCGACAGTCGCTTCCGCGTCTTTGGGGTGAAAAGACTACGTGTGGCTGATATGAGTGTGGTACCGGTTCTAACCAACAATCACACCCAGGCCACTGCTTATATAACTGGAGCCACATGTGCCGATGTCTTGATCCGCGAATATGGCTTGAATGAATAGCTATCTATATGCACCAGTCGGGAGCGCTATTCGTCAATCCAATTCTCCAAGGCTTCTCTGCGGGTTAGTACATGGCCAGGGCGCAGGAAGCTAGCATTAGTGCGACTTAGAGGATGAATGGTATGAGGGGTTGATTCCGTACATGCGTGGCTGTACCTATCTGCTACAAATTGAATATCACGTTGGGAAAATGACCTGGCATTTTGCCTTCAGCGAGAATTTTTATTGATCCCGCAAAAGGGTTTAGAACGATGACCAGCTGCAGCTCATTTCCTCGCTAATTGAGGGCGCGTTTTCGCATTTGAATTTTCCATGTTTGGACGCTGAAGCCGCACTGCGGAACAGTGCGCCTCTCACGGGAATTTGAACTAGTAAAACCAAGGACTCGTGCTTTTGACCTATGAGGGTCAGGAAGGCTGACGCCAGCCACATCACGTGATGTTTGATCGAATATACATGATAGTCTCTGGTTACAAAGTCACGAGCATGGGAGCGAACGTCAAGGGCCGTGCCAGCACTGGGCGCCTCAGCCGAGACGTAGGTAAAAGTATTCGCTAGGAGGAGTAGAGGAACGTGGAACTTCATTTTGCGAAGGCCTTGACTTAAAAGGTGGGGGAGGTAGTCTTGTAACGAGACGGGATTTTAGATCTGGTAGTGTATGCTCTGATGTTCTGCGGATTCAGCCACGAACAGCGAGAACTCGGCATTCTTATAATTGTCAGTGTAGCTCGCAGGCACACATTCTGTCAAGAACGCTACTCGCCCTGTCAGTAGTAAGTACAACGGTGCTTATCTCACTGGGTTATGTCAGCAGCTTGTCAGCAAGCTCATCAGCAACCTCCTTAGCCAGCTTGTCAGCCTGTTCGTCAGCCAGCTCGATTTCAAGCTCCTCATGTGATTGATTGCGCCGCTTTTTGACATGCTACCATTTCGCAGTCTTTATAGCCACCGTCTACATTAGACAACACAATCAACGGCCTCTACACCAGGTCATCAACGCCCCAATCATGGAGTTAGAACCTGACTGCATCATTAGCTCTGAAAGCTTCGACAAGTATGCACTTGACGAACGCCGTCGAGCCTCCAAAGAAAGAGTTCAAGACTTCCTGGATCGAGGTCTCATGAGCCAAGGTGAGGCTCAAAGTAAGGCGTCATCTGAGCTCGTTCTAATCCAGTCCAGTTGTCGTTTACCAAAGGTTCACAGAGGAGCTATCTGAGAGACTCACCAGTTTCAAACGGTCGGATCAACCTGCCATAATAGAAGACATCAGACAGTCATTCCGTCGACTATGCGACCCAAAGAACGGATGTAGGCTATGGCTGGTCATAGTGAGTTGGTCTAAATCTCAGGCTGACATGAGACGCAGATCTCTCTGAGGCGATGTTCAAGCGCGTGGTTGCGGAGAGGCTCTCCGAATTTGGAGTCAATGAATCACCGAACGCACCCGCGCTGCTGTTCAAAGTCTGCAGCTCGCATGCATTCTACCCCTTTACAGCATCAGAAAGCGGCTCAGAACAGGCCGGGATCGATGAGGATGCTTTTGTGCGCGCAGTTTGTCTACTGACGCTGAGTCCTGTCGAACGACACGGCACCCAAGTTCCGGGGACTGTGCATCGCTATTATTCAGGAAACTGGGGCCCACATGGTGGTTGGTATATTGCCATCCGCGGTAAAGACGCCAGCGACTTCCGCAGACGGTTGTTCCGAAGCCTTGCTCTGCCTGCCAGCTCTGGTAGCAGCACCGGCTATGACACAAAAATAACGGTCCCTCGGTTCATATGGTTCGAATCCAGAAAAGAAGAAAATGATTCTGGGCCTGAACCCGATCAGCAGGTCGTTGTCGCAGAGGACGAGAGCGAGCTATCGATCGACATTGTAGACGTCCTTTCAGAGTGCCCGCCCGAAGCAGATACGCTGACCGCAAATCCTTTTCGCGAAAGCTACCGTATCGTCCTGCCATCGCTGCCAAAACTGACTGGCGACTTATCTATGCTTTTCATCCCTAGAATAGAACTTGTGGCTTTGTTAAAGCTAGTCCACCAAGTACAGGGGGAAAGCTCAGTGGATTCAGCAGCGGCGATCAGAGGGCTAGGCAATGAGGAGAAAATCAGCTGGGAGAGGTTCGACTTTGCAATATCGGAAAAATCCGTGAGTTGATTCGGACTACGCTATAAAAAGCTTTTTCATCAGCTAACATGTACCACAGGAATGTATTGCAGATGGTCTTTCGAAGGTTTTTAGCGCCTTCTCAACCGCCTAAGAGACAACTGGGGTTCGTAATTCTATGAACACATTCTAAACATTATCTAGTTGATGTATAGATCACAAACTGATTTACCGACACCACATTCCAACCTGGGTCTAGTCTAAGGATAATATATCTTTGATAGGCGATGCTGTATATTTATATTTCTTATATGTACTCAGGGAGTAACTCGAACAGTTGAGTATCCTATAACGATCGCAACTGTATTAGAGTTAGCTGGTAAATCACACGCTACTGCTCGCTTTGCATTATTATATAGAGAAGATAAGACATGCTTTATAGGTATACTTATCCACTATATATGCTATACATAAGAGTTTAGATATTAGCTATGCAAAGTTCATGGGTCTAGAAACTCGAGATGTTTAGGTCCAGAGATATTGGGACGTAGTGAAGGAAGACCCGTAGCTCCTTGCCTAATACCGACCTAAGTAGTTACCTCTGTCTTACGCATACAAAGAGTTTTGAACACAGTCTCTTACTAGGTCAACTCATATGCCAACATAGCGGAAGAGGGTTCTAACCACCGTGCAAGACATTTCGAGCCCCGGGGAATGGGCTAATGGGCCCAAGGAAAACGCAGACATTGGCATCAAGCTGTGAAGGAATGCGGTAATCAATATAGAAATTGGTTCAAACAGGTAGAGGCAATACTATCTTCCTTCGGCATGCGGAAAAAAGGTGGATCTGGCTCACCTAGTGACCTTTGAAGAGCGCAGATATCCCATATGACATACAAATATGACTGCCAGCCTCGACTAAACCATTTCACTGGGTAACTTCTCAAATTTTACAGATCACCGGGGCGACCTCACCGCCAGAAGAGTGAATGAGCCGGTTTATATTCGACCTTAAAGTTAAGAAATAAACCTTTGACGTGGATTATTATACCTACTTATTAAATCAGATATCTAATACCTAATCAATTGGGGGTATTCTCATAATCAAGGGCAGAAGAGTATTCTCCAATTGAAGAGAAGTTTCGTCTGTATTGACTGCTTGTCGAAGCCAACGGTGGAAGTAATCCAGTACCCGCCAGCCTGTGAACGAGCCAGGATAGATGGGAATTCCTCCACAAAACGAAAGGAAGTGCCCTGCGTGATACTGACCGCTATAGGCAACCTAGAAAACCAGGTGGATCAGCCATCCATCACACGCAGGCATATTCTGTACATCCTGCAGGCATGCATTGGCCCGACCCTTCCGGATACAATCATCCGAACGGAGCTCTCCCGCAACCTCGATTCAAATCGGGCAGAACTCGTGATCGCCCAGGGCATAGCCTCTAATGTACCCCGTACATAAGACAATGACCGAGGAAAGGAGGCAGCGAGTTACCGCACGGAGAGTAAGATATACAAACCAAAGACTTTTCACGGAAGGAAGAAATCAACATTTTCAGGAACTCCTCGTAGGACTGAGCATGGGCCATAGCGAGTACCGCGCAAGTGACTAATTGCCTCGACTTCGCAGCCGGTAATTGCGCATCCGGCTACAATTACGCTCGTCACTCCTATGAGGACCTGAACGAGCATTTCGATCGCACCCACATCACAAAGACTAACCCAACTGACGGGTGTGACGCGCAACCGAAGAGGGTTGCCGGTAAATGGGAGCGGGAGCTAGATTTCGAGTACAAGGAACAGAAAGAAGTTGCCGTGGAGGTCTGTGATGCTAACTCTCCATCTACACGGAGGTCCTAGTTCTAATAACAAGCAAACAACACAGCTAGCCCTTAAAACCTTTCAAATCCCACAAATATTGTATACTACCTGAAGCTTTGTGGCTGGTAAAACGCAGAGAAGCGACGTATAGCCTATAGAAAAACCAAATCATAGAAGCACACCATGTGTCACTTCGCATCCACTCAGGTAGATCAGTACAAGGTCACAACAACCAAAGCAGCATCTGAAGCCAGTCCCCAAAGACCGACCGAGATGTGCTTTAGCACAAACCACCTCTCCCGGCAAATTCGAGCTCGCCCGTGCAGATCCATTCCCTAGTCGACATATCTCTGGCCTTCCAAGGCTCAAGTCGCAGTAGTCTTGGCAGGATCTATTGGTTCAGCCGATCCTCAGCTGCACCCTTGCAGCCTCGAAAGAGGGTCTACCTACATATTGGAATTTACTCAGTAGCTCTGTTGATCGTGTCGTGTCGATGTACTTCTCATTGGATCGGCCTGCCCCAAGTGACATTGTAGAGCATATAGAGTCGACGACCTGAGATCATCTCGTCACACGCTAAATAGTCTCGATTAGTTCATGCAGGGCGATTCAAACTCATCGCTCATTGCTCATCTGATGAGTCTCATTTCCAATGGATTGAGGAAGGCATAAAAGGTGGTTCTTGCCCCGAAGAAGCACACGGATAACACCATCCATCTCTCAATCTCTTTCACACCCAAAGAACCATCAACATTTTCATCTGAGTTTCACCATGCAGCTTATCTCTATCCTGACCTCTTCGTAATGGTAGCCTACATAACTAGTTAACTAGTTAATGCAAGTCAGCTATTTATCGGTCTCGGATACCCTGTAGTGTAACCTGTGACGTATTGCACATAATATTCCCACTGGCGGCTCACGAGTAGAGTTGGTCGGGTTCCCCGCTTAACCCGGCCCGAACCCGCCCCAACCCAGCTGCGGGTTGGGGACGGGTTCAAGATCTAGCCCCAGCTCCGGGTTTCGGGTTCTAGAGTCAAAATCCACCCCGACCCAGG